GAGTGGATTACTGATAAGTGATAACTGACTAAGCTAGTCGTCATTTTATGAGCATAGTAACTTTACTAACTTAGTAAGTAATATTTATTCGTAAATCGTAATAATTCCTGAATAGTTGTTGCATGATGCATCCAGTAATCTACTTTCATATCTCCTCTAAATGGCTCCAATCTCCATCGCGTAAGTCTCGTAGCAGTTCTCCCTTTCTTGGCTTAAGATGGCTATAACTGTTGACTGATTTCTGCTTTCAGCGCACCATTCTGAAAAAAAATTAGATTAGGATCAGTTTGTTAATGAAAAACCTAGAAACCGAGTGGGAAGCAAAAAACCTGGATCTAGGTTTTTTCTGCTTCAGAGCGCCACTGTGCCTGCGGAGTGCCTGCTGGAGTCTGCTGGGGCTAAATGCCCAAGGATTTGCTAAAAAACCACCATGCTTGTGACTGGCGTTGCACACGTTCTAGCGATGATTGGATTCATTTGACTGTGACGCATAGTGGCAAAGCAGAGAGTTTTTTTAGACTCTCCCTTAACACCTCAAGTTCATTTTTGAGTCCTATAAGTAGACCAGTAAAGTATCATGGATACCAGCATCATCATACATAAGAAATTGGTTTAGATCTTGAATAAATGAGGAAATTGAAAATGAACTGATTCTAAAAAATCTCTGCTTTGCCACTATGCTGTGACGTTGGACGCATTCAAGCGTTGATTGGATCCTTGTTACTGTGATGATGTAAGCTCTGTTTTTTTTCAATGAAACAGCTGTGGCAGCGTGCAGAGTTGTCAGTGATGAAGATGGACTGAAAGTGGAAGTGTGCTGGACGTTCCAGATTTTTGGGTCCTGCTTTCCAATTTGCTATGTTTACCAGTTAATATATTACCCCTCTGGATTTCCACACTGTAATCAAGAGTGACGTAAAGCAATCAGAACTCAAGTTGCGCATACAGTAATCTTTTTATAGGCATCATTTCTTGGTACATCCTTAATGTGTCAGAATATGGTGTGTTTACCCTAGTCAACATCGAAGTATATTTTGTCAACATTTAAGTATTGCTTAAGAGCTAAGATAGGTAGCCCATTCTAAATATTCCAATCACTGCCAAAACTTTCTAAATTAGAAGGAATAAAATGAATTTCTGGAGAATTTATAATCCCTGTGATAAAACAGAGATATTCCTCCTATATCTGTCATATGCTAAAGCCCCATTCCACTGCAGTCTGCAGGAACAAAAATTAAGAAAAGTACCTATTCCTAATTTCCTATGCCCCTTATGGAAGTGAAATTTCTAATTTAGTATGTACAAACTGCACCTGGACGCTGGACCTGGGCCCTGGCACTTGGCTAGAAACAAATCAATAAAATCATGAAGGAACAATTAAGAAAAGTACCTATTCCTATGCCCCTTCCCTTATGGAAGTGAAATTTCCAATTTAGTATGTACAAACTGCACCTGGCCCTGGGCCCTGGCTCCTGGCTAGAAAGAAATCGTGGAGTAGGTAAACATAAATTAAACACCACAAGAGTCAAGACCACATCATAGGCTACCTAATTTTCAGAACTAAATTTTACAGAGCTCAAAAAGCAAACAAAAAATGAAGTAGCCTAATTTTTTTAACATAATCATAATGCAGTTCAAATAGCTATCACTAGAAAATTCATGGTCACATCAACTAATCTAGCATTCTATTTCTAGGCTAGCTAGCCTATGACAATTTATCAAACAGGCCAAGACCATTTTTATTACAGCTGGAACTGGAAGCTGCAAGCTGGTATGATGGTAGGCCTACCTGGTAGTATTTCTGGTAACCTACCTAGCTTAGAGTGGCAATTCAAGAGGCACTGATATTGCCTTCCAAGCTGCAATAGTTTTTTGGTCACGTCTGTTTAGTATAAAACTGAAAGTCGAGCTGAAATTGTTCATAAGGCTAAGTACACGAAATAAATTTTTCATTCCATTAAGATTTCGCACAGCAAATGCAGTTATGAATATGAAGACTTCACTCATTACAAAGCCAATATAAAATTGCTTGCAAATTCAAGAATCGTGATTATGTCCATAATTATTATATTATAGAGAAGAGAATAACATNCCCGGAGTCAACACTGTAGCCGAACCGCAGTATCGGAAGACAAAAAGATGACGAAAATCACCCAAGTTAACCCAGAACATGCGGAACTTCCAATTTCGAGTAAAATGAAATGAAGAAGTAACTTATCGAAAAATCATAGGTGCTGCTCTGGAATAAATGTTGCGCTCACTTTGTTATCATTAAGTAAATTCACACTCAGACTTAAATTTTGTCAGCAACTTTTTTGACTACGCTTCAAGAGTAATGTTCCATACCTACACTTTATGTTCACATAAATTCAGACTATAAAGAGTTTTGAGCAACCTTCGCTGCATAGGAAGATCACCAATAAAAACTATTAGAAATAGTGTATAATTTAAACACTCCTACCCTACATTTATCTAGCACGCCACAGTATATCGAGCTAAGCTAAATATTCTTTTCAACTAAAAATTCTCTACCGAAAATTGAGAAAATTCGAGCGATGAATTACAAGAAGTGTGGAAACCATTCATTTGATGTACTCTTCAGTCTACGAAACTTCGTACCAGCTATGTAAGCCATTTGCACGAATTATTCGATCATTACAAAACACATTAAAACATCATCAGGCGGTTCCACCTATTTTCATAACTAAAACACTGACTAATAAGGCAAAAAAAAAAACTCTAGTTCTTCAGTATATTGCATTTACAAATTATAGTTGCTATATTTTTTTCTGTCTGACATTCCATGAAGACAGAATGTGACCAATAGCAAGGAGGTTAAGAACGCGGATGAACTGCCTATATTACAAGTATTTTCAATGCAAATGCAGAATTTCTGTAGTATATTACAGAGATCATGGCAAAATCCAAGTGCTGGCAAGTCACTTTCCTAAAAATACGCTAACACTTCAACGAAACTAACAGAATACCAAACACTAAAATATGACTATCACAACTTTGTCTAGCAAGTCAACATATTTGAGCAATGAACATCTGAAATGAATAAAATACAAATTGTACACGGAAATCAAGAACGAAACATAGGTGATGACGACAGTTGATGCCTGTGTCGTTCACTCGTGCTGTTCTTCTTCTTCTTCTTCAGCTAATCCGTATTCCTCTCCATCATCAGACACATCACCCGAGTCCACCTGAAAGGGATGAACTCATGAAAGAAAAATTGTTTTGTCTAACGCTTTGAGACTGAAGCAAAAATTCAATAAAAAACTCACGAGTGTTTTTGGAGGTCATCACAGACATTCCAGGCGGAACGACTAAATAAGAGCAGTGAGCAAATTGCAATAAAAACCTTCTGTATGTCAATGAAAAAAAAGTTACGTTTTCACTTATAGTGTTCATGACACTCACGCGAACGAGGCCAGAAGCAAAGACGTAACCGAAATTCGCGAGAGCTGCAGCCAGAGTGAAGAAGATGAGGCTGGTTTTATTGACGCCATCTTCGGCAGGAGGAGGGCCACGGGGCTTGTCTCGCCCATAGCCGATGCTGCTAGGGTTCTCTGTGGACACATTCATTCTCAAGAATGGTAGGCAACACAATATATAGCTGCAAAATTCAGTTCAAATATGACTGCAGAAGACAATTGTTCAATTTACTTAGAACAAAGTGAAATACAGCGGATCACAACAGCTGTTACGTGACGCATTTTGTTTTGTTTTATCATGATAATAATTTTCAATATTATTCTTCACCGGTTAATTTGTTAATATAAATACATTAAATTTGTACACAAATATACCTGAGTTAATTTAATTTATCAAAAATCACAACAGTTCATGGAAACTTCAATTTCATAAAGAAATATACCATTAGGAAAGCACGTAGCGAGGGCCCTGCTGACATAGGCCGTTAGGTTGGGGCATTGTCTAAGGTGGTTCTGCAGGGCTGGTACACGCAGGTCTACCTGCAGGTTGATTAAATTTAAAAATACAAGAACCTCAGCTTTTGAACATGGTCTACACTGCAATTTCATCACAACCAATTCATTTTTACAGTTCAAGTTCTACACAGAAATGTCTAATTACTTCCTCCTCACCATTACCATGAGAGAATACAATCGAGCAAAAATTTAGTACCTGCAGCTGTTCAAAATCCTGTCTGACCACGATCAAAGATTAAATTGTATTGAATATTGATATCATGATAAACACATTATTTCATCATCGAATGTTTTCATTTGAAAACGTATATCTTCGATATTTATGGAGATCGTAAGCCACAAAAAAAAGACAAACTTTGAGCAGAAGCGCAAGGTAGGGAGCCAAAATAGCATCAAGACTTGATGGTGAACTGCCAAAGAAAAATCCTTTATCGCCCAAGCGCACGCTGAGGAGGGTCAGACACTCTTGCCCCCGTTTCAAGAGCTGTAATAAAAAAACGAGTTATATAAAAAATTGAGCAAATTTTACATGCAAGTTAATCATTGCTAAAACTCCACTTGATGACCTCAAAAATAGTAACTGTCAACATTAGTTGTTACAGAGATATAAATGAACTAAAAAATAACATTAGAAAAAGATAAATTGAATAAAAAGCTTCAATATCAATGCAATTTACTTAGTTGATCAAGAAAATATAATCTCAGTCATGAATAAAGGTTAAAATATGGGTAAAATTCTGTATATAGAATCAATCGATGGTACACACAATAAAGTTGAATAGCTCACCTCAGTTTCAACGGCTACCTCGTCATCAGGTTCATCAACAATGGACTCAATGAACGCTTTATAAGCATTGTGTCGGTTGCTTGGCACCCAAAGCTTGTAAGGGAACCTCATTCGAGAGTAATACCATTTATGAATGATTTCCTGGTAACTCCTGGGCTCCACCCACCTTGAAAAATACACATGTTACTCTCAATCATAATAGAAGTACTACAATTAATTTTTATGCTCGACTATTATTTGTTATCATTATGATAAACTTGTTAAAATCAAGGATAATTATATCTTCAGTCCATGATCAGTGTTTCACATCATTAAAAGTTGATATTTGGAACTTATGGCCATGAAGTGTTTGAAAATTAAAGCAAATTTGAATATGATGATGTAATAGTATCAATATGGCTTTGAAATGGTATGAAGTTACAAGTAACTAATCCCAGAAAAATGATCTTAAATGCTAATGCTGCATTACTTACCATAAGTATACAAATGCAGGGAAAAGCTTCTCCTCTATCAGCTGCTGATAAGCCAGTACATCTGAACATTGCTTTCTTGTCAACTCGTGATCACAACTGAAGTTCTGAACAAAGTTAGAGAACACATTATTAACAAATAATTTAATAATTGAGAAGTCAATAAAAAAATTCAAAAATGCAAAATATTACAAGAAGATAAGTAGCAGCACAAGTTAAAAGAAAACTGGCTACATTTTGTAAAAATATGTTACAAAAAAAATCCACAGTTATTTCTGTAAAGTGGTCAGAATCATTATCTAAAGTCAAATATTTTCTATAAGCCCAGATTTAATTGGCAGCAATTATAAACAGAAAATCTAACTGAAACAAATAGAAAATATTAATCCTTTTTACCTTTCTTCTTAGATGAGCAGTGATGGCAGAAAATTTGTTGAGATTTCCTGATGGGCAAGACAGCACAGGAAGGTTGCGTGAGGGTGCATGGGCCGGGCTCATGGATTTGATGATCTTGACGGGAGCTCCACTGAATTTCACATACATCTAAAAAGCATGGAAATGTTACCAACTTACAGAAAGTCTTTGTTGTCTTTCTATATAAAGTCTCATTATTTTTCTTATTTCATCTGGTTCACCAATGTATGACTTATAATTTTAAACATTATTTTGTTCATGAGCTCAGAAAGCAGGAGAACTAGATAAACACACAGTACGTATTGCAAGCATGATAGAATAAAATATATTGATGTGTGGTATATATAGAAAGCAGTCATATTTTAACATCATTTAATTACCATGATTTGCAAGCTCTCTAAATCCATTGATGGAAGGCCATAACTGGAATCTCCTTCCCATACATGAAGCTCCATTATGGTTTTGATCTCTGGCCTGCAAAAGAAGCCTCTATTTTCTTCAAAAAAATTCAGTAGCTATAAATTTGCTAACATGTTAATAACTATCTAAAGAGGCTCAAAACTGAAGTGAATTTTGTTGATTCTACATTCTGAAAATCAAGAGTTGAGAAATATTTTATTATAACAGTTGTCCTTTGTTAATTGTCCAGGTCTGCTGCCTGGCAGCACCCCAGGAAAGGCAGCAGCATTGGGAGAGAAGGGAGCACTGAGCAGTGAACCTGCTCCAAGGAGAGCAGAGAAGGGTGGGAGTGACAAGAGGAATGCCACAGTTGGTCCAAGGTTTGTCCAGAGGTCCAGTGGGGTTAGCAAGCTGAGGTGTGATGGCAGCTATAGAGATGATGGGTAGGTAGTGTGTTCCATTATGCTGCACTTGGTGCAGAGAGGGCTCTTGACTGCTCCAATGCAGGCAAGGTATGCACTGAGTTGAAATGAGGAGCCAGAGTGGAGCTGGGATATGGTGCTTCTGGCTGCTCGGGGATGGATTGCTTGCTGGATGTGATGGAGGGGGCAGAGATCAGCAGCACATTGCCAGGAACTGCTGAAGATAGGTAGGATGGGATGGCAGAGCTGTGCAGGGTGCTGAGGGCAATGGAGTAGGAGTTGGTACGGAGGGATCCCTTATCCAGGAAATGAGAGACTGAAGCCAGGAAGCAGGTTTGAAGCATGTGTTCCATGGAATGGGGCCCTGATGTTTGGGTGACATGGTAGTTGGGATAGTATGATTGTAGGGAGCTGGCAAGGTACTGTGAGCAGAGGAGAGGTGTTCAGCCGCAGGTAAGACCTCAGCTCAGCTGTGCAGGTGGGAAGCAGAGGTCATTTGAAGAGAAATGTGGCTATGTGCAGGCATGGAATATATCTACTTGGTGAGCTGCAACCGGATTTTTTGAGCCGTGGTTTTATGGGACACCCCCAAAAATGCATTTACAGTAGAAGCTGTAGAACCTCAGTTAGCAAAGGCTCCAGTTAAGAAAAAAATTGATTAAAAACAAAGAATATTGATTACATTTACCTTGATCAGCAAAAAAAATTTCACTTATCGAAAAATTTGTGCATCTGTGCTTCGTCGGTCATCACAAAATTGTGCATAGAATGTCATACATAGTGCACCAGGCATCATAGAATGAAAAGTAATTGACCTAAACTATGATTTATTTCTCCAAAACATATGATGGTTGTCACTAAAACATTTCAGGTATGTTTTTCACAATATTTTTTTATAGTAAATTCACTCAACCCAATTAAAATTGTATGAAATTACAAGCCATCCTGTAAGCTTACAGATACAGAAAAAATGCTACAAGGCTGCTGATATGAAGCTTGCAGTGAACAACAGGACAACCGACAAGGTAGTTGAAATGCTCAATGGCTTGTTCATGGATACGGTAATATCGCATCAATAATACGGTAATTAATGTATATGGTAATATCATATCAATTAGGAAAAACAAGTAAAAATCACAGAAAATCTCATTTATTCTACCTCTACATCATCTACAATAAAACAGGCATGGAATATATCCACTTGGCAAGCCGCGACTGAATTTTTTGAGCCGTGGTTTTATGGATTTGCGAGCCATAATTCCATTTCTTTGAGCCGTGATTCCATTTCACTGAACCGTGAATTCCATATCTTGGCCATGAAAAGCCATTTATGAGGCACGAACTTATTTACAAAGTCCATGCACAAGTTACCCCAAATATCTTATTTTACCCTAAAACAGTCAAATGGCAACAATAAAAATTGTCTTTACTGTAAGTTGAGCATGTGTTAATGCAGTCTGACCGCTTTGACATGACTGTAACTATGTGCGATCTTCAACAAAACATTTAGTTGATTTGTTTACATTACGATGTTTATGTTTTTCTGCAGGATATTTTGGCGGGAACGGTAAAACAATGTGGATTGCGCAAGTTGAAAATTTTATTAAATGACATGTTTGCAAAGGGCAAACTGCAATTTTTCAATCAAACAAAAATTTGGCATTTGAGCCGCGAGATTTCATACCTACTGAAATTATATGATATTAGAGCCGTGATATTTCAGACAAAAATAGGACTTTTCCAGCCCTGCAATAAAAGAGGACTAGAGGAGGACTTTAGACTTCAGAGTACTGTCAGTAATAGTAAATGGATGAGTACACTCTGCATGCTTCAATAATTTTTTTCAATTGTTTTAAAATTAAGTTTTATTCCAAGTGTCCCAAGTAGCCCCATAGCCCCCATTTGATGGGGTTACTCGGGAGTCGGGACACTCTTTTTTTTACTTCAGGCACCTTACAAAATACAAATAGCATATGGAATTTTTTTTAGAAGCCATTTGATAGCCCTTGCAATTTGCAAAGAGCTTTGAAATGAGCCTAAACTTGTTTATGAAATGTTTCATGGTATGATGGTAAGAACTTATGAATGAAAAACGTTCAAAATCGTCCCAAGTAGCCCTGGTTGATGCCTGATGCAGGCTGATGGTATGTACCATTGTACCTACTTCCAAAATCAAGTTTTGCCCAAGGTCTTTGATGCAAATAATTTGAAAGTGCCTGATTTAGAAATTATTTACAACATAATTACGACTGAAAAACATGAAAAATACTTCCAGATTGATTAAGCTAACTTAATTATCAAAAATCGACATTAGCAAGCAACACACAATCCAATTTTGTGGACGGCATTCCGCAGGACTGGCAGTCTCCAACGGTCCACTCCCATGGCCATGGGCATGGGCAGTCTGGCCACCAGTCACCAGATATTGATAAATGATACCTACCAACTTACTGATAGGCTGGTGCCTCTAATGTTGAGCCTGAGCACTTGTAATTAACGTACAGTCGTACATACTTTTTTTTTCAGCTGAGAGTCTGTAAGGATAAAAAAATGTAAGATTAGCATTCAATAACAATATTCATATGCCGTTTGCTTCGCGTACTATCGTACTACATGGCCCATGGGGTCCCGACATTCGTTGAATGTATCAAAACTCAAAAGTAGTCGATGGTTACGCTCTGTAAATGAGATGACTAAATTTACGGTTTCCCGAAATCCGATCGATTCAAGGTCTACATTTTAAAACATCTGTCAGTAATTGTGTTTCTTATATTATAGACCGGTCCGGGTCCGGGTTTTAGTCAGTACCTCAATTTCAAACCAAACCCAGCTCTTGTCAGGATTTGTTTTCCTTTTCTAAATAAAATTTGAAGATACTTATTTGGAAGCAGCTCAAACCATGCCTTTCAACTTTTTCCACGTATTATGCCAAAAAAGGAAAATTCTTACAAGTAATATAATTAATTATGAGTTTCCAATTGATAATACCACCTAGCAGATTTCTATCGGAGGGAGTGTGGAACCCGTATGAAAAATTCTTTCTGCTACCAACCCAGTTTTTGTATAGAATATATATTATATATTATTATGTATTAAATTTCAATAATATTAGACATTTTGGCAGAAATATGTTAGCTCGTGTTAATTGTACAGAAAATGGATATTTTTTCTATTTTTACACTCAAAATATATATCTGGCATTGATTGAGTGTTGAGGTGATTTATCCACAGTGTGTTTAAAAATATCCAGTAATGGAGGAATCAAAGATTATTCAAATTTATAATAACTTTCGCCTTCCGATCTTGACGGGAAATTTTGTTCCGCATCCTGCCTCTGAGCGACGTATTCCCCACAATTATTTTGAAATCTTATTATTTACTTATTTCATCATTACATATTCATTTTACAGCGAAGTCCGACATTTTTTTGGCACTAGCTTGTTTCTTTCACAACAAAAATTTTCTTGATTTTTAATGTAGTCTGTTTTCATAATGAACGTTCTTGGAGGCAGGGTGGCCCAAAGGTTTTCAGAGTACAGGATTGTAGCAGAGAAGTGCGGATTCGATCGAAGCTCTGTGCGCCAGTTTTTGGTCAGAATCGGCGAGGAGGGCGGGTGGTTAAGCACAGCAGCAGTGAGTCGCGTGTTTGAGATCCGCAACAAGCTGTGAATATTCTGCGATGTTAAGAATAGGCGACAGGCTTGCAGCCCATTAAACGCTGAAACCGCTATTACATTAAATTTTTAACAACTGGTCCAGCGCGCATACAAAATAACTCTCTTGTTGGTATTTTGCATGAATTTGAGCATCTTTCATTTGTAGAAAAATACGAATTTTGAATCACAATAAAATATTTACATCGAAGTGTATCAGATTTGAAATTTTTTTATTTCATTTTCTGCTTGATAAATCAAAATTTGAAAACAAAAATTAGCTTGGGACTTTGTTAAAATATGGGGGGAGGGGAACGGGCACAATTTTAATCCGCTTAACTTCAGTTTTATTCTGAAATCTATTTAATCTTTTATTAATTTATTTTCTAATGTCAGGGATTATCCATCCCGAGAAGCAGCGGGCTCACCTAATACTAATAGCGACCATCCTTAAATTAAATAAGTAAATGTAATACTTAAAACCCTTAACCTTGAGAAAGCATAACTTCCTACTTGACACTTCGATAAATGTTTTAATGATTGGTTCAAAGACCCTTTGAAACTTTTTTGATGCGCGTACTTTACTTGTAGAAAACAAGTTTAGTTCTCTTCATATGAGAGATAATTTGAAATTTAATTTTTGATATCGCTAAAGAATTATATACTTCACCATAGGGGCTGCCAGGAGGCAACATGAATGATTTTGTAGTTTTAAAGCATTTGCTTATGAGCGGCATGGAAATAGTTAATTATTTTCCTGCTGTAATACTTAAAAAAAATAAAATACCAAATATATCAATGTTTTTCTACCGCTCATATTCCCATATGTCGCTTAAAAAACCGCATCCGCAGCAGGTGAATAACGTAATTTGCAGGCAACATGTCTCTTTTCTCTTTAGCCGAGATAACATAAGATTTTCGCGGGTATAATACACGCTGAGAGCTTATTTAAGATGACGCTAATTATCCCACGGAACTTTACAGTGCTGGGTCGATTTAGATTGCGGGCCCTAGCATCAATGCTATTCGTACGGGTAAGAATAAAGTAAGTGTTGGCTACGCGCGAGTTGTGCTCACGCCGTGCTTTATTGTGACCACATCGTTCACTCACCTGAT